GCGCCCTGCGCAGAGGGGGAAGCTGCACTAGCAGAAGCTGTCGGAGGCTCGCGCGGGCCTCTGGGGAGCGCGTGCCCGTGCAACCCTGGTCTCGGCTTCGGCCTCGGCCTCGGCGGCCGCCGCGACCTCCGCCTCGGCCTCGGCTTCGGCGGCCACCGCGACCGCCGCCGCCGCGGCCTCGGCCTCGGCGGCCGCCGCGGCCGCCGCCTCGGCCTCGGCTTCGGCGGCCACCGCGACCGCCGCCGCCGCGGCCTCGGCTTCGGCGGCCACCGCGACCGCCGCCGCCGCGGCCTCGGCCTCGGCGGCCGCCGCGGCCGCCGCCGCCGCGGCCTTGGCGGTGGCCGCGCGGCGGGTGCAGGTCGAGGGTCTGCGGGCCCCCGGTGCTCGCGCGCGTGCTCGGGCGGCGGCCGCCGGCCCAGGCCGTCGAGGGCGGAAGCGGGGGTGGAGACGGCGACGGAGAAGGAGGAGGGGAAGGAGGAGGGGATGGAGGAAGGGGGGGAGGAGGACGAGGAGGAGGAGGAGGAGGAGGAGGAGGAGGAGGAGGAGGAGGGGGAGGAGAGGAGGACTCGAGGACTCGAGGACTCGAGGACTCGAGGCCGATGCGCACAGGTCGGTGACTAGCGGGCAGGCCAGAGGAGGAGGAGGAGGAGGAGGAGGAGGAGGAGGAGGAGGAAGAGGAGGAGGAGGGGGCGGAAGAGGAGGAGGAGGAGGAGGAGGAGAGAGGAGGAGGAAAAGGAGGAGGAGGAGGGGAAGGGGGAGGAGGAGGAGGAGGAGGAGGAGGAGGAGGAGGAGGAGGAGGAGAGAGGAGGAGGAGGAGGAGGAGGAGGAGGAGGAGGACGACGACGAGGACGAGGAGGAAGAGGAAGAGGAGGAGGAGGAGGAGGAGGAGGAGGAGGAGGAGGAGGGGACGATGGCAAGGAAAACGCCCCAGACAGTGTGTTTCGTTTCAATGTCGTGTCGTTGTCCATCGTCTTGTATTCCGTCCGTCCTTGCTGCAGCACGGAATCGAAACGGAAGCGGGCCAGGGAATCGCCAAAACACCGTTCGAGTCGACCCCTGGGCGAGGGAGGAGAGGGGAGGCAGGGGAGGGGATGGAGGAGAGAACGTCCCCTTCTCCTCGGCCCCTGCAGCCTCTTGCTGCGCATCCCCCCCGTCCTCCCGACCCTGCCTGTGTGAAGCCAGGCAGACCGAGATTGACTGGGACCGCAGCGTCAGAACCCTGAGGCACCGAGGCGCTGACGGCTGCACCGCCCTTCAGACGTAGCCACCCGTCGGAGCCCTACTGCGCCTCCTCCCCCCCTGGACGCTGGGCGCTGGTGGCAGTGAAGACCGTCACGGGGCGTTGCTATCCATCTCCCCCCCCCCCAACGGCCGTTGCCTCCTGGGGGGGGGAGCGAGCACACCAGGAGAGTCTTCCTCTTCCTCATTATCCTCATCCTCCTCCTCCTCCTCCCCCACCTCCTCCTCCTTCTTCGCGGCCTTGTTATAAAGAGGTTCGGACTCGAGGAGCCGGGCCCAGGGGAGTCCGACCTGTAGATCGCATGCACTGTTCATGCAGGCTGACTCCCAGCAGTTGCCCCAAACTGCTGCGCAAGAGCTGACAACTCAGAGCCCAATGTGAGCCCATAATCAGGTTTGGACTATTTGCGATGCCCTCGCCGCTGGTTAGAACAAGAACAATGACGATAACAGTGCCATCATAAGGTCGCAACGGTGCCGGAAAACCAACGAGCCTGGTGTACGTATCACGGTGACTTTCCCATTGGGTTAGGCCAGCGGCACGATCCAGCAGTGCGACGTGGTCTGAGAGAACCGCACGTCACCGTATACGTTTCTCTCGCTCATGGGTGCCCCAGGAGGACGCCAACTGTCCACATGTGCCGATGCTGGCCAAGCCCTTCCCGGGCCCCAAAAGCCCGCGGAGGAGGAATAGGACCTGGGTCGTAGTCTGATCTCACGGCGGCGGCGGCGTTGAGGATAGAGGAACGACGCTTACGCCTAGCACCTCCTGCTGCGAGGCCGTGCCACATACCTCTCGCGATCTGGGAACGCAAACCGAGCGGTATACAACCATGCCCCCCCTTTGCTGAAAAAAGCTCCTCGTCTACACCCAAGGCCGATGAACTTTTCCGGGCTCACCGCTGCCTCTGCAAACATCTGAGAAAGAGGGCGGCCGCCGTTAGGACCGGCCTCTTCTAGCCAAGGGGTGGGTGGGTCGGGAGAGATTGAAGCCAGAGCCCACGGGCGTCGAGGAATCGCTGCAATCGTGGACACCCGCGCCGTCCCTCCCCGGACCTCTCCAAGGGTGCGCCATGACCAGGGTTCCGGGGCGGCTCTGGCCGTGGCGGAGGGGGCCCCCAGAAAGGCCCCCCAAGAACACGAAAACGATGGGAGGGCAACGGCAACGGCATGTTCGAGCTTCAACCACAATCCAATGGGCATAGGTCTCCAAACCCCTCCCAGGGTCCGTCCTGGCTGGTTGTTCAAACTGCGTCCAGGCGTGGCTACGATGACCTCATGAACCGACCACCGAGAATCTCCGAAACGAAGACGGCGGCGTCGAAGCCAACGTTGGTGTGCTTCTCTCCTCTGAAACCACTGCGCGTGCGCAACGTTGGTCCTGCTACCTTTTCCCGAAGCCGAAGTGGTGGCGGGGAAAGGTTTTACCCAATTCGATTACAAGCCGAAGGACCAGCCGCCGTCAGCCTGCCCACCGCCAGCGTGGCTGCCCGACCAGCCGCCTGCCTGGCCACCCGCATGCCTCAGCGGCTTCCCCCATGGCCTGCCAGATCGGGCGCAAGGGTACCCTGCGGCCGATCGATCATCCTGCCTCTCGCCCTGCCCCTCCCCATGCCCCATCCCCTCTCCTCGTTCCACCCCTCCCCCCCCATCTGCACCGAGAGAGCAATGACCGCGGTGGGGCGCTGACAGCCACTGCTGGCCACGAACTGGCGGCAGGCCGAGGGGGGAAGTGTGAGAGGGGGGGTGGGGGGGTGGGGGGGGCAAACCTTCTCAAAAGGCGTCAAGGCTTCTCGGAAGTCACCCGGCCTTCTAAGGCACTCCCTGCGGCTTCGGAGGAGGCTCCGGAGCTTCCCACAAAAGGCAAAAGGCCGTCTGAGCCTTCTGAGCAGGCCCACCCTTCTGTCGTACAGAAGGATCTGCGGAAATGACATCGCACAAAAGCCCCCGCGGTCGCGGGAGCGAGTGGGTGTGCGCGGGTCGCGGGGAACGCGGGGCGCAGGCGTGCACGCGGGTGGGCCGTTGGGCGAGTTGCGGCGGCAGGTCGCGTAGCGGATCGCTGGCAGGGTCGCCGAGCGCAACGCGGGCGGAATAGCACCGACAGGACAGAGAGAGAGAGAGAGGGAGCGAGAGCGAAGGGGGAAAGATGGGGAGAGGGCGAGGGCGAGACAGAGAGACTAGGCAAAGCATACAATTACTCACTGCGTGGAGCTCCCCATATGTGCATCCTTTTTTGAAGGTCGGGTAATATTGTATTTGGGGGTATTAGAATGAGCGTCTAGCCACATGAGCCATATGTGCATATCAAATTGCGGGGTAGTGCGATGGTGAACATATTTCTACGATAGTTGTGATATAAGAGCGCGTCTACGTGAGCGACGAGCACACGCGCGCAAAAGCAGAAAACACGCAAAGATAGGGAGAGCCACTGGGGACACAACGCAAAAACAGAAAACAGGCAAACCGGCGACGACCGGAGCCGTGAAAGCACCCTTGGGGGCTCCCCTTAGGTAGCTGAAACCAGCGCCCCGCCTGAGACATCCTCACAATGTGTTCTCCAAGCGAAGGATGTTGAGACAAACAACAGGCAAACCGCTTTAGACATTCCCACAAAACGGCCGCGAACGGGACCGTGTCATACCCCTTGGCGGCTCCCCTTAGGGGTGCTGAAAGCAGCGCCCCGCCTGAGACATCCTCACAATCTGCTGTGTGTTGAGTAAGTCGGGCAATGAGAAGGTCTGAGTATGAGTAAGTCTGAGTATGAGTGAGTCTCAGCATGAGTAAGTCTGAGTATGAGTAGGTCTGCGTATGAGTAGGTCTGAGTATGAGTAAGTTAATATGATCAGGTCTGAGCACGAGTTAAGTCTGTGTATGAGTAGGTGTGTGTATGAGTAAGTCTAGGTATGAGGAGGAGGAGGAGGAGGAGAAGAGGAAGGAGTAGGAGGCGTCCAAGCAATAACAAGACCCCAATCTTAGTATATGGGGAAGATTTTTGGGGGGCCCCGCGCCGGCACCACGTCGACACGCACATGCGCAGGCACATGCAAGCCACAAGCGCGCGCGCAGCACGACCGCGCGCCACACCACACGCGGGCACACCAACGTGGAACGTGTGTCTCTTCCTTCCGCGAGCGAGCTGTGCCGCTGGGGCCCCGGCGGCGCCGCGGGGCAGCTGCTGCTCGCCGAGGGCGCGGCCTGGCGGCGCGAGCCAGCCCTCCCACAGGCTGCTGCCGCCCTCCTCCTCCTCCTCCTCCTCCTCCTCCTCCTCCTCCTCCTCCTCCTCCTCCTCTCCTCCACCTCCTCCTCGCCTCCTCCTCCTCCTTCTCCTCCTCTGCCTCCTCATCCTAGTCTTCCTCCTCCTCCTCCTCTTCCTTTCTCCTCCTCCTCCTCCTCCTCCTCCTCCCCCTCCTCCTCCTCGCTCTTCCATCCTCGCCGTCTTCTGTTCCCTATCTGTTGCTCGTGTCTTCTGCTGGTGGTGCTGCTGCTGCTACTGCCCAACTTCCCCCCCCCCTTCGCCGAATCGAGTCGACCCGTATCAGAAGGATGCGCAGTAAGGATGCCAGGGCCTTGGAGGGCAATGTTGGCGGTTTTCAGACGAGGCCCGTAGCCATTTTGGCTCAAGACGGAGCTTACCTCCCGTCCCGACTCCAGAGGCTCGAGGCTGAGGTGGAAGGGCCGCCCCTTCCATTGGCCTGGCTGCCTCAGCTAAGCGTTCAGTGAGCACCTGGCGGTGCAACCCTTTCGACCCTCGGCGCTCCGAGGGACACGGTCGCGGGCACAGCGGTGCGGCGGCCTTCATGGATGGTGCAGATGTGGTCCGTGGCCCCAAGACCCCGTTCTGGGGCTGCCAGAGTTGCGGGCTCACCAGCAACTGGGCGTGCAGGCTGCGGTGCCGCTGCGGGGCGAAGGCCCCCGCGTTCGTGCTGCAGCGCGCCAAGGCCTTTGGCAACGGTGGCGGGAGCCCTACTCGGCTGGATCCTGGGCGCAGCCGTCCACCTGCTGCAGGGTCAAGGCGCGAGGCCAAACTGGAGTCCCAGCTGGCCGAGATGCAGAAGAAGCTGGACCAGTTCATCGGTGGAGGCGCCAAGCCTGCCCGAGCCCCTACTGTTGGACAAGGGCCTGGTCAGCATGGTGGCACACAGTCCAATGGAGGAGGCGGTGGTGACGGACAGGATCCACTACAGGCACGTGTACTCGAGCTCGAGTGTGCGATTAAGGCCTGTGGCAAAGGTGACGACACAACCGAGGCACGGACGCTCCTTGAGAACAAGCTCAAGACGGTGCGCGCGGAGATCGAGAGCAAGAAGCCGAGCATCACGCAGCACACCAATGTGGGGCATCGATTGGCTCGGGCTACGACGAAGATGGAGAAGGTCACGACAGAGCTTGAGGAGCATAACAAGTTGCTCGACGAGCTCAATGCCAAGACGGACGAGATCAAGGCGCGCAAGGTCGCAGCGGAGGCTGAGGTGGCTGAACTGCAACGGCAGCATGTGCAGTCACTTCCTGGTCAAGCTGCTGATGGTGGTGACAAGCGGCCTGTTGATCTGTCTCTCCCTCCTGAGGCCCTGGAAGGCAAAGACGCGATCAAGTCGATGCTCGAAACGGCCGAGTTTAAGGAGTTCGTTAAGTTGTTCGCTGTGCATCGTGCTGCTGCTGGTCCTGGCGCTGATGCATCTAAGTCCCACGTCAACGGCGCTGAGCACGTGCCCACGCCACACGACGCTGAAATGGACGATGCCTTCCAAGACGAAGCAGCTGCCGAAGCTTTCTGGGAGAAGCACCGTGGTGATAAGCGGGCCTTCACCCAAGCCCTTTTGGGCGCCAAGCTCAAGAAGCCGAAGACCGCGCCGCAGCTTTAGCCACTACCCGTCCTGGGCTAGGTGGCATGGCTCGACGAGGCCGATGGCGAGTTCCTCATCCAAACCTTTTGCTTCACGCAGGGAGAAAAACCATACCTCAGGTTCTACGGGATCTGAGGGTGTCAGACGCAAGCCAGATGCTCCTGGCGACGTGCTTCATCAGAGACAGGCTGCTGACGATCAAGTGTCAGATGTTTCCCAAGCCTTACCTGGTGACGCTGTGCATTTCTTCGGGGTTACTTGTGACGAGAAGTGGCTCAGGCTACAGACGTTCGAGGACCTGAAGGCTTTGTGGTATCTGTTGGACGTGCTGCAGTACGGCCAGGGTATCAACTTCGGCGAGTTCGACGAGGCGCGAGTCGTCAGGCACACCGGCGTGCCCGAGCTTCTGGGGCCTCCTGAGCCCCCGCAGCCACCAGTTTTGTTTGACGGTGCCCGTGTGCGGCCCCACCTGGGGCCCAAGTGCACTGGTTTGCGTGTCTCGGCCCACGGAGTAGGCTTACCGCCTAAAGCCGCCGCCCCTGCTGACCTGGATGGTCAGGCGCACGTGTTTGAATCGTATAATGGTAACAGCTGGGGCACTCCCAAGAAGAGACTGATGAGTACACAGGCTCTTGTGGTGTTTGCACAGGAAATAGGTATTACCGAAGAGGATCTTGCGGCGAGAACTTCGACAGCTAAGAGTTTAGGCTGGAACATGCTCTGTGCCTCTTCGGTCAAGTGTGCGGGTGGTCAGACGTCGGCTGGAGTAGCCATACTGGCAAGAACGTCTATCGGCCTGAGGTGGCCCACTAAGTTGCCCAGAGGTATACTTATCCAACACAGGCTGATCTTTGCTACGATCGACATTCCAGGGTGGCCCGAGTTGCTAGCAGGTTGCGCGTACATGTTCACCAGTGAGGGCTTGAGCAAGCGGAACCTCCAGATTTTAAGACACGCAGGTGCAGTCTTAGAAGGTGTACATCTCTCGGTGTTGGCTGCTGATTGGAATTTCTCAGCCGAAGTTGCAGAGGCGTCTGGCATGCCTCGCGAGGCCTCCATGATGATAATGCAGCCCAGTATCGAAACGTGTGCAACACCGAAAGCAAACACCAAGATCGATTATTTCATGGCGTCGGCGGCTTTCTGCAAGCTTGTGGAGGCCACCGAGGTTGACAGTACGTGGCCGAAGCGGCCCCATCGCCCAGTTCAGCTTCGTTTAAGGCCTGGGGCAACCAAGCTGCAGCAGCTGGTGTACCAGACTCACCAGAAACTTCCAGTAGAGCTGCCCATCGGCCCCACCCCACCGCCGATCGATTGGTCCGTGGCCCGAGCTGTGGCCGAGGAGGCGAACCGTAGAGCTGACCACGAGGATGTCGGTTTAGTTTGGGGGGTCCTGGACCGAGCTTGGAAAGTTTTCTCGGATACGATGGAGTTAGAGTTAGAAAGCAGAACGGGCACCCCCATAAAACGTAAAGGGCTTAAAGGTAAGCAGCTTCAGGCTAAGTGGGTGCCTGCGATGACCCCCCGAAGTGCAAAGAAGAGGACGATGTGCGCATTGGGGAGGGATGGGTGTGGCTGCAACAGGGGATGACAGACCTCAGGAACACCAGTCAGCGCATTCTCACGCAGGCTGACAAGTTCGTTGATCACACTGAAGTGCAGGCTGCCCTTAACCTTATGCAGATTGTTTCTCAGCCGTTTGAAGCTGAGGGCTTGTCTCCGAGATTGGATCTCACTGTCCGCAAGGCGCGTGAGCTGGCGGCGGCTTGGCCGCAAGACATGGTGGCCCTTGCTGGGTGGATCGATCATTGCTCGGAAACTTTAGCAGCCTGGGCCGAGGATTTTCAAGCGGCCCGTGATGGGCTGGACCAAAAATCGAAGCAGAGTTGGGACCAGTGGCAGACGGAAGCCCTGGCGGGGTCAGCCCGAAAGATGCATCGGCTTACGAGGTTGAAGGCCAGGTGGCAACCGACGGTGATAGAAACCAGCCCAGGGATCTTCACGTCGGACCCGCGCGATTTACTGGCCCACGAAGCCAACGTGTTAGGAGGGTTTTGGAATGCCACCACCACCCCACCCCCAGTTGAAGTCCCAGATAGGCACTGATTTGAGAGAGCCACCGCGGCGGAGCTGCGTGCCGCAGCCAAGATGTTCTCGCCGCACACGGCTCAGTCCCTTGATGGGGTGCACGTGCGACAGTTCGCTTGCATGTCGGACGCTGGCCTCGACACCCTGGCTTGCGTTTTTCAGTGTGTTGAGAAGATAGGACTCTTCCCTCGGGCGCTGTATTGGATGCTCTTCCCCCTCCTGGAAAAACCGAAGGGTGGGTTGCGCCCGATTTTGTTGTGTTCCTCCCCAGTTAGGCGTTGGGAACGGCTCCGACGACCGAAGCTGACGTCCTTCAACGACCGACATCCACGTAGGTACTGGGCCTTCGGAGCGGGGAAGTCGGCGGAAGGCAGTGTGTGGAACCAGGCGGTTAAAGCGGAGGCCCGAGTGGCCGATGGTGGGGTCACCGCGGGGTTCTCTTGGGATGGGTCCAAGTACTACGAGAGTTTCGACCTGAGACTCCTCCGAGATAGGGGCCAGAGAGCGGGCCTTGATCCTGTGGTGTTAAAAGTCACGTTCAACTTCTGGAGAGGCCCTCGGATCTTGCGATTAGGCACTGATCATGCGCTGGCGGTGTTGTACGCTGAAAGCGGGCTGCCAGCAGGGTCGATTTTTAACGATATCTTCGTGCGAGTGTACGCGCTCGAGCCTTTCGACGGATTTGTGGAGCGGAACCCCAGCATAGATTTGGCGTCGTATGTGGACGACGACACGGTCTCGTCGTATGGCACCGAAGCTGAGGTCATCCACTCTCTGGCCGCAGCGGCGCAGGACCTGCACCGCGTTTTCAAGCAGGAGCTCGGGGTCAATCTAGCCCAAGATAAGTTGATGACTTTTGGTTCGTCGCCCAGTGTCGCTCGTCGCCTCGGGGAGCAGCTTGGGAAACTGGCGGGACATGTTGGGACCCACATGGTGACCTTAGGTTGTGACTTCGCCCCAGGGGGCGAACGGAGTAAGAAAGGTCACCTGAGCAAGCGACGGGGCAGGTTTAAAGACATGCTTAAGAGACACCGTATCTTGTGTAAATATCGGAAGGCCCTTCCCAGGGAGCGTTTCAGGATTGGCAAGATCTACACGGCTGGGGTCAAGCCTGGTCTGAGCTTCGGGGACACGGTTGTTGGCATGAGCGATGCTGAACTTAAGCGCGCGCGTAGCGTGATGTTGTCGTTTCAGGCGCCGAGACATGCTGGGGTTTCCTTGAGAGCCAAGACGGCGCTCCTAGGCGACCCCATGTGGAGGAGCATGATTGCCCCTGCTCTGGCGTGGTCACATGCTGTGTGGGCGGCTACCACGCGTCCCGAGCACGCCTTTTTCTCGATTCAGGAGCTGTGCAGCATGTGGCGGACCGTCCCGCCCACCGGCTACAATTGGGCAAAAAAACAAAGGCCCGATCAGTAGAATGCACCTCTCCCTTCAGCGTATCGGGTGGGAAGCCTACACCCCCCTCGACTGGCGCGATGATAACGGCGTGGAGATATCCCTGCTATCCTCCACCCCCTCCATGGTCGGGCACTGGCTTAGCCTGGGGGTCCAGAGGCACCACGAGCGAGTTTTGGGCAAGAAACTTGGGTGGACCCCTGGGACCAGAGTGTGTGTGGAACCAATCCGACGCATCACCAAGTCTGGGGTTAAAGGTATTGGGCTCAACGCCCAGGGTAAATATTTAGTGATGGCGTGTTTTTGTGAAGGGCTCTGGACCGAAGACAGGGCTTTACGGTCGGGGTACATCACGCCAGGCCTCTGCCCCTTATGTCAGGCGCCCGACTCGGTAGGTCACAGGATCTTCGCCTGCCAGCACGCGGAGGTCGTCGCGGCACGGCAGGCCGCCGATGTCTCCACGGCCTTTCTCGAGCGCGCCCAGAACGGGGACGCGCAGTTTTTCGAGGCCCTCAAATTTCAGCACCCAGCGGCCGAGTGGCCGAACCTCTCGGATGTGCACGAGCCAGAGCTCTTTGATATGAGTGGGCAAAAAGTGGAGTGGGATCAGTTTGATGGGTCCTCCTTCTTCCAGGCTGGCGACGGGTCTTGCGCTCGTCACACAATCCGAGAGCTTTCGAGAGCGGCTTACTCGTGGGTGTTCTTTGATGCTGAGGGTGTGCAGCGGTATGTAGCAAAAGGAGTTGTGTGGCCGAGTTTACCCCAAACCAGTCAAGCAGCAGAACAACTCCAGCTCGCCTTGCTACCAATATATGTACCAAATCATGGGCCGACGTTATACAGCGATTGTATGAATGCCGTCAAACTGCACAACATGGAACCGTCATGTCAAGTTTCGGCCAAGCAACGTTATGGAGGGTTGAGAAGGGGGGCCCTGCTCCACATGAGGGATCAAGAGTATGCCCCAGCTGTTCACACCCCTGCCCATAGGAAGTTAGAAGACATCGAGCAGCTGCCCCCACCAGAGCGGTGGATTGGCCAGGCTAACTGGCGAGCGGATCGAGAGGCTAAAGGAGCTCTTGACCTGCATCCCAGACCCTCGCCAACCGACTGGCAGCAACTGGATAGCTCGATCGAGAGTCTCGAAACGGTGGCCCGCCTCGTGGCGAATGTGTTGCCGTGTTTTCCGAGGGTGCACCACCAGCGCCCACCGCGACGTGAGCGCCAGCGTAAGGTCATTGCGTGCGCCACGAGCTGGCATGACTGGGAGCCCTGGTTGTGGGGCCACAGGTGTGCCAAA